CATTATATAGCGCCTTTAAAGGTGGCTTCCCAGTAAAGCGCTTTACAGAACAAAACATAACAAAAACTGCTTTCCTTACGATCTGAGGGATTTTTCATGGACACTGTAGTCATGTAATAATTGTATATTTAATTGAAAAAAGGTTGTAAGTGTTGTTATTGTTTTAAACCACACAAAGATGTGGACTGAAGTCGTGTTTCGCGAGACCTACATTGCTTTGCCGCACTGTCCCATGATGCACCACGCCACAACATCCGGGAACTGTGTGCTGGATGGGGAGTTTCGTGTTCGGTTGTGTGAAGCAGTTGGTTTGGCATTAGGAAAGATTTAAGCAATATTTCATTTCTGAGGAATCGAACATGGCGGTAGGTGTATAAAAAGATGTTTTTAAGCTAGAGTGCCGATGTTTTAAACTGGTATTGATGATTATTTTGGTAAAAGAAACATGTTTTTTAAGAACCGCATTTTAAAGAAGATGGCGTCACGGCAGCCATGTCGAGATCGCCGTTGAATCTATTCACAAAACAAAAAAAAAAGCTCTCGGGCTACGGTTATCAGTTACTGTATTGTTCATTAATCAAAAGTTGGAAACCGAAATTTGTGTATACTATTGTGATTGATGAAAGGATTTGAGAGGAAACACGTTTTAACACGAGGCACAGTTCTTTTGGAACCGCAACAATTGATCTGCGAATCGTCTCGCATCCGCAATTAAAAACCGAATTTTGTTCGGATATATTTGAGGACCTGAAGCATACGTTGACTGTGCTTGGGCCACTTGATAAATTTAAATGGTAATCTAATCGAATTTTAGCTTTGATCTTTGTTACAACCATTATTTTATGTAACTTTAAATTGCGACCGTTTTAACTCCTATTAATGGCTGAATACATAACTCTTTAAATGAAATTTTAACTCAGTGTGCACTCATAATATAAAAATATTTACGGATTGCTCAAAAGATTATTCTTCCCGCTTCAGGTTAAAACGTTTTGTTTCCTTAAAATGCAGGCCAACGACGCTGACCAGGACGGGCTCGTACGGAAGAAATCCTCCCCAGATACAGACAGGAAGAGAGACGGCACAGACACATCGAAATCTCCAAGAAGTTCAAAACATCATCACTCAAGATCTCGGTCACGCTCAAGAGACAGAAGAAGAAAGCTGAGTATGTATCTCAGTGTTAAAATATCACAGTTAGTTAAAAGTAGTAGTGGGCAGTATGATCACCACAATTTCTTGTGTTCTTTCTGATAGCACCCTTTTCTGAGTTGAATTAACAGCCCTGTCTTTAGAAGGTAAACACCAGTTTGCGCAAGAGTCTTTTGCATTATAAAGGGGTGGAGGCCATTACAGTTCTGTTTTAGGCAACCTTAGCTGAGAAGAAATGAGTGGAAATTGTGTACTAAATGAATTTGGAACAGTCAATCATTGAGCCCCTTTTAATTTTAAAATGGTCGTTTTCTTTTTATATTTTCAGGCTTCTTAATTATTGAGCAAAATATAAAATGGAAGTTCACATTCGGCACTGCTTTTTTGTCTCTGTAATGTTATGTTTTCGAGTTTATAGAGGCTCTGTAGAACATACCTGAATAGTGGGATTTAATACTAAAAAAAATGGTGCTGCACATTCTTCTGAGATGTTTTCCAATTCTAGCATCCAACAGCTCAGAACTCCTTCCGTGGGGATATTCATTCATTTATTTTCTAAAATTGTTTGACCAGAATGCCTCAATAAAATGAACACAGCTTGTGTCCACCCCGACGCATCCTGTCTGTGCTGGTCGGCACAGGGATTTCAGCCTGGTCTTTCCACTGTATGCCAGAGAAATTAATCCCAGAGGCATAAAACAGGTTGTACTTATTTTTTCCTTAATGCAGTTTTTAAATTGGACTGTATTTGTGGTTTGATAGTGTTCAGTGGACGCTCCTTTCTCCCAGGGATTTTGCTGTATTTAGTTGCCTGCTGTAGCATACACCAAGCAATAAGGCATGAAACAAATTCTATCAACAAAACGTCAGTTAATTGTTCCAACTGTGGTCCACTTAGTATTACACGGTGGATTCTGTACACAGCATTATGAGCTGTTTTTCTTTTCAGGTGATAAGAAGCACAGAAGAAGTCGCAGCAGAAGCAAAGAGGTAATTAATTTTAGTTTTTTGAACTCACCTAGGGATAAATGTACAATTTGCAACGCTATTGTTATAATTAACTTGATATTTAAATGGATGGTAAGTACCAAGACAGATTTTTTTCTAATAACTGTAAGTTAGTAAATCAGATTTATTGGTGGACAATCAAGAGAAGCATGGATAAATTTATCAGGGCGTGACGGTAAATAGATTTGTTTTTATTTTGACTTTAAGAGTACAATTAACTGTCTCTTGTAGTGTCATTATATAACTATAACTGAAAAATAGAAATTGAACAATTGTAGATGGTGGTTTAGTATGTTTATGTAGGAGCGTTTTTTTACATAACTTTTGTGTGTAGATCACATGATAACATTTCTATAATAAATCATACTCAGCGTGCTAATGCACGAAGAGAGACAGTGAACTGAAGACGCTGCAGACTCAGATAGCAAAATTATATGCCTACTTCCTGAAAAGGTAACTATCAGTCATTCAAACTCATATTTCCCTTCTTAGAAAAGATCTTGATTTTTTTATTTCAAGTTTGTGCTCCTTTGGTAACTTGAAGAGGTTTTAACAAATTAAGTTTCATTATAAAAACGATCAGTACGTGACAACATTGTAAGAGAAAATGCCAGAATCACATCTGAAGAAATTCAGTTAGTACTTAGATCAGAACCTACTGTGATGTATGTACTAAGTGTTTTCTGAACAGAAATGAAAGTGCACCAAGAAAAGTTAACCATATGTTTAGATTGAGCTGACTTTATTGCTATTGTGTGGCAATAAATGCAGTATTTGTTTCAGAATTTCTATGAATGACTGCAGTTTTGTCCATTATTTTAGTTAGGAATTAAAGTGGTTCCCCTATAGAAAGGAAATTAGCAGAAAATATTTTGCCTAATAGATTTGTGATCATCAAATTTTTTGTAACTGGGAAAGTTAATTTTGCTTTTCCAGTTTGGTGAGATCTCATGTCCTCTTGGTATTGCTTATACCAGTAAGCACTGTATATAATCATTGTGTCACTCTAATGTGGTTACACAATAAGAACATTCCAGAACATGCTACACCAGGAGAACTGTCAGATTTGTGGTGTGTTTCTATTTACTTTGTCACCTGAGAACAAAAGAACTACTGGCATTTTTTTCTGGACATTCAGAAGCAATTACAAAAAACTGAGTAAGATGTATACTTTTACATATGCACCAACAAGACAGAACACATCAGTAGTGAAAAGGTTAAAAGAATTTGCATTACTAGCTGGGAGAATTTAGTGTAGAGAATTAAGGGAAATGATGAAGAAGCACTAATGCAAAATATAGATGCAAATTTACAGATTAGTGTTATACTGTGGCACAGTACAGGCAGAAACTGCATATGCAGTTATACGCATATATTGAAGTGCATATATCTTATCTTGTTTTTTTAATGTTTTTGTACAAGAACACAAAATAGGAGTTAGACTCAAATCCATTTCCAAGTAAGGGACTACACGTGTAAGGTAATAAAGGAGTTTGACTAATTCAATGATAATTAAGAGCTCCATATTATATATTATGTATATGTTGTAAGCAGCAATATGTGTGAAAGCCTGATGGATCAAGACTTTTGCAAATCCTTTCCGATTCTATTGACTACAGTAAGAAACTTTAACCTTGCATCAAATGTTGGGGAGGGGGGGTTGGGCAGCAAAGAAGTGACTATGTGTTACTTCTCTACATGCGTTAGTGGATATCTTTAATTCTCATACTAACTCTTTTTGTTGCACTATTTTCCTGAAAGAACCAACTTCTTCTTAAAACAGGCACGAAGAAGAGATTCGGAAGACAAGCCCTCCAAATCTAGCAAGGCAGAAGACCAGCAGGACCGGGAGCAGTCGGAGAAAGGAAGGGAAAGACTTTCTTCCGAGAATGGAGAAGAGCGCCACAGGCGTAAAGAAAAGAAATCTTCCAGGGGCAGAAGTTGCTCCAGATCAAGGTCAAGGGAAAGGTAAGTGTTTCCTCCTTGTGAGGTATGATGGCTTTTCAAAAGTTTTAAGCGTTGAAATGTTTTTTTTTAATTAAATTTCTGCTCTTTTTTTATACGTAATTGGAAACCTGTTGTGACATTATACTTTGAGATGTTGGAAAATTTGAACGGGTTTCAAATTCCACATACATGTTCCATAAAAAGTGACAATTTAATACAAGCTGATGAGGGTAGACAGATTAATGTTGGAAGACGGCTAGCGTGGACTTCTTACAGGCATTTTATTTCTTGGTTGTTGCAGACGTCATCGTAGCAGAAGTCGAGACCGAAAGAAGTCGCGCTCCAAAAGCAGGGAGAGGCGATCAAGAAGTAGAGAGAGAAAGCGCCGCGGCAGGTCACGTTCCAGGTCCAGATCTAAACACAGGCACAGAAGTAAAAGTCGCAGCAAAAGCAGGTTAGCTATTTTCAGATAAGTACAAGAAAACATGACTTAGACTGGACTAAGATACAATTGAGTGGACTGGCCTTAAAACATCTATTTTTGAGCTTTAACATAAACATGCATGATCCTTACATTACTCAAAAACCCTTCTCGCTATTCCAGGCACCTGTTTTAGTCTATGTAGAATCATTTAAAGAATCAAGCCATGTAGGTTTTGAACTAAGTAAAACTGATCGATTTAGAATTTCTGTAGTCTGTAGGTCGGATTTAATTCCGTTGATTAATACAAGCAAAAATATAATGGGTCTTAAAGACATCAAGCACTGTCTTGTTGTTTGAAGTAATATAACACTTTTATATATTAAAGGGAAAGGAAGAAGAGAGTAGAGAAAGTACGCAGATACAGTAGAAGTCGCAGTAGGTCTGTAAGTCCTCCTGCTTTCCGGGGCAGGAATACTGCGATGGATGCACAGGAAGCACTTGCCAGAAGGTAATACAGCTACTGTAATGAAACGTTAAGCTGGAATTCTCTTTTAGTGTGCACTAAAAAGGGTTATTTTTGTTTTAAATCAGGCCAATGAGAGGTTATTGTACTGATACATGGACACTTTCTTTCCACAGATTAGAGAGAGCAAAGAAATTACAGGAGCAGAAAGAGAAAGAAATGCTGGAGAAGCAGAAGCAGCAAGAGATTGTCACAGGTAAGAAAGTTCTTAAATCAGACAGTGATATGAATTGATATTGATATGAATTGGCTAATAAGCTGAGTCAGAACAAGTAAAGGTTTATTCCATGCTGAAAAATAAGAAAAGACGCAACATTTCGGCTTTGGAGCCTTCTTTAGGCATGGGACCAGGCCTTCCACACCTGGAATGTTGCATTTCCTTTCTTCTCTTTTCAGCACAGAATAAACCTTTTACTTGTTCTTTGCAGCCTATGCATGCTGACGCAGCTACCTACTTGAACTACTAAAAAACTGAATGTCAGATATGTGTGCTTTGTAAGAAGATGGTTCCATGCTCAGTAGTAGTTGTAACTGAATTGCATTTGGCTTCTGACTTTTAGACTAGTCTTATAGACTGTGTACAGTGATATGTTTTAGAAAAGATTATTTTTAAGACTGCGGTGATTCTAAATAAATGGAACATCAGATTCACGGTCCTATTTGTTTTAATTTACTTTTGCAGTGAGCTTGCCTAATTGTTTGTTCTTTGTAGTTGCTACCACTGGTGGATCTGTCCTGAACGTTGCAGCACTTCTGGCTTCTGGGACTCAGGTCACTCCTCAGATAGCGATGGCTGCACAGATGGCAGCTTTGCAGGCGAAAACCCTAGCCGAGACTGGGATAGCAGTACCCAGCTACTACAACCCAGCAGCTGTAAACCCAATGAAATTTGCAGAACAAGAGAAGAAGAGGAAAATGCTTTGGCAGGGCAAAAAAGAAGGGGTAGGGATTTCTTCCTTCTACTTAAATAACCAAAGAATATTGATGGTTGAAAGTTCTTAAAATAATTGGATCATGCATGCATTGGACTGGTACTTGTCTAGGATCGCTTGTTGTGATACTTCAAGGAAGTCTTACACTACTTGTTTTGTCTTTTTACAGGACAAATCGCAGACAGCTGAGCTATGGGAAAAGCTTAACTTTGGAAATAAGGACCAAAATGTAAAATTCCGAAAGTTAATGGGCATAAAAGTAAGTATTAGAGATGCATGTTAATTTCATTTAATGTGTTTTGGCACAGAACTGAAATCTAAAGGGCATTATTTCACTTTCAGGGTGAGGATGAAGCTGGTGCGCCCAGCATGGTGGATGACGAGAGTTTGAAAACTCTGAAGCAGCAGGAGGAAGTTTTTAGAAATCTAGATGTTCAGTATGAAATGGCGCGTTCGCAGACACACACGCAAAGAGGGATGGGACTGGGTTTCTCTTCATCAATGAGAGGAATGGATGCCATTTAACACCGTTGTATTCAGCCTTCCTGCATAGCTTCTCAACAACGCTGGAAACTTTGTAAAAGCTTTGTGTTCTGATGTAAAGTCTTTAATGAAAAGCTAGTAGACTAGCTTGCATGGATGTTGCATTGGATATGTAATTTATTGAATACTCACCCATTTAAAACATTCATTTGTAAATAGTTTAGTTAAATGCTGATGTTGCCTCAGCATTAGGTTTCTGTACATCTTTTTAAAATATGCAGTGGTTTAAGATGACTAAGAATAGGGGGGTTACAATGGAGCTTTGGATACACACAATTGCTATATCATGTCTTTGCTTTTTGTACTAAAATTGTATATATTTTCATTTGTTGAAACATGAATGGAATATTGTGTAGATGTAAAGTACAATGATTCATTATTTTGGGTTGCCAAAGGGCACATTATCCACTATGAATTTTTAGGGGTTATAGCTTTTTTATGTTAACACCTGATTAAAAAATCCTGTGTTTTTTATGGAAAGGCTTCACTCCTGAGAATATTTCATTTATTCCATCCTTTGTACATCAAGCAGGTGGAGGGGAATGAAATCACATTGTAGCTGCAGCTTTTTGTATTCTACCAGTCAAATCTACAGACCATAGATTATAGAACGGGCTTCTTTTTATGTTAGTACTTTTTTGCAGCTTAGAAAAACCAGCCTTATTCCTCCCCCTTTAAGTGACACAATCATATCAAGGATCTAAAACATGGCTTTCCTTTTGTCATAGCTTGAGTCTTTCCGTTTTTAGTTAGTGTACCTTACATGGCTAAAGTGATCAAAGATTTGGTGGGGGGGTGTTTATGCAGGTGCATAATTTAAAATACCAACTAATTTTAACAAACTACAAGTTTCTGTAGTCCAATTTGTATGGTTCTTTAATAGTTTTCCCCTGGTTGGATTTAAGTACATCATGCTATGTCCATTCTTTTGGACAATACTTGGAACATAAGAACAAATTAAAAGGAACTAACCAGCCTGTAAAGGCAGTGTTGGGGTTTATTTGAGAGGACTGACTTGATTATTATTCCCTTTTGAATAGTCTTGAATGTACACTTAGAACAATTGAAGGATAATCCTGGTTGGACTAAGTAATTTTGATCTTTCTTTTTGAAAGATAAAGCATCTTCAGTCTTATTGCCTGTAATGTTTTAAATAAGCAGACAATAAATGGTGCGTAGGATATTTTGTTTTTGGTCTCCAGTTTTGTGTTGTGATAATGGAATACATTTCATTTAAAACCTTTTCATGCAGCGTGGAACATAATTAAAATGATCAGCACCTTTTTCCAATACCAGTTTGAAGATCTGTAAAATCATTTACATAATGCAGCTAGTGGTAAGAAAATGGATTTAATGTCATTCTGTTATGCAATATCCAAATTGAAAGCATAGGTATTAAAATGGTAGGAAATGTACTAGAGATCTAATCTTCCATGGCAAGAAGCATTAAAATGCATGATAGTGGTGATCGCAGTGAATGTTGCCAAATGTGTGGGTGAGTCTTGCAGAGCCAGGAAGGTGGTCAAAAACCTTGGTCCTCACATACCTTTTTACCTCAGCTGTGCAAGGTTAGAATGAACAAAAAAGCAACTATAGATCAGGTCATTTATGTTGACTATGAAGCCATTAAATTGGTTATTTTGTTTCCACTGTTTGCAAAGACAGTCTTCTACCTGGTATTCATATAATGCTGGCTTCCTGGATCAATTGAGTAGCAGCCTCCCTGCCACAGCAGCACCCAAGCAAGTATCTATGCTATACACTTGAGTATAAAACTTGAGTAGGCCTCAGTCAGTTTTCCATTGCAAAATTCCCACTTTAACATTGTTCCCTGATTATGTCTCTGCCTTGAGAGAGCACTTTTGATGGACATACTATACCTGTACATACCATACGCGTATATATGTACCACAGAGAAATTGTTAACTTGTTTTATTTACATATTAAACTTGAATATAATACATGTGCAACTCCTGTTATCAGGTTGTGGTTAGCAAATTCTAAAATGAGAAGCAAAATGGGATATTCACTTTGCCGTTTCCATAAAGCAGAGGCGTCGTTCAGTCCCATCCAGTTTATTAGCAGAGTCTTCATGGATTCAGGAAACAACTTGCTGACCAGCTCCTCAGCTGGAGGCAGGTCTGCGATTCTGTTGATGTGGCTTTTTTTAAATCCCTCTATCTGCTTGCTAATATGGCATTTGCAGAATTAAACTGCTGCCCCAGCCAACTGCCCACTGCAGAAAGCAGACAGCTGTTGTACACTGAGTTCTCTCCAGAGGTTTGCCTTTGCACCAGGTGATCTGTTGCCTTCAAGACCTGTAACACAATGTCTGTCAAACCCTTCTCGCTGAATTCCTGTGTCATATATTGCTGCATGTGATCCAGTAGAAGTAACATCACTTTGATTTGCTCATTGTGGACATCATTTTTACGGCTCTGTAGAAAATATTCCAGGCTTCTAACTTTTTGGGAGACCTGATGAGAGGGATCTTCCATGTTTTCTGGGGAGCAGTAGTTGTGGTCGGCTGTAGGAACCGAGTCAGATGTATCATATGAAATGTTTACCGTATCTGTCTCCGTTATTGAGTTATCCCCTAAGATACAGAAATTATGTCCTGGAGTATTTTCTGTTCTGAGTCTGCGCATCCAGTCCTCGTTGTGTATTTCGATAAGGTCATCTGGTGGTGCAGGACACAGCTGGACACTCAAATCATAACATGGGTTCAAGGGTTCATCATTTATTCTTGATTTCCACAGTTCCTGTGGAGATTAAAAAGATTACTATATTATTGTATATTCTTGTTTACCTTGGGGGTGTCAATTGAATGTAGGTTTGTCAAAAAAATCCATTCTACGCTCTGTTGCTTTTGTACAATATTTAAATCAAACCTCAATGTTTACTGTCACTGATTGCTTTTGATTAAGGTTATCAACTAAATACAAATACGTTGAGCACCTGCAACAGAAAACTGAAGACTGGGTGTTTGAGATACACCAATGGAAACATACCTGGAATGTCTCAAGGACAAACAGCTGTTCCCGCTTGCTATACATTTCAAACGCAACACGGAAAAGCCCTTGAATGCTGTAAAACCATAGGCGGTTAGTCCCACATGGGAGCCTCAATCCGTGAAATCGGAATTCTATTAAGAAGCACAAAAGAAGACATTAGAAAAATATGACTCCTGTTTCAGATATACAAATGGCACTTAATCTTAAGAACAGAACTCACCAGAGGAAAAGCTGAGTTTACTTGCCAGTCCTTTCTTTGCAAACTTTGCATGGAATCTTGTGTGATTCTCTGTTCGGATGCCTGTATTCGAAAATAAATCGGCTCCAAGAAAAAGTGGAACCAGACCCTCCTGAAAAAAAATAAAACTTGTATTGGCTCTTCGCTCCTTAAGTGGCTCTTAATCCTCCAAATCCTTAAATTTTGGTAGATTTGTTTCCTGTATTCCAGCCCGTTGTGATTTCACAGTATTTCATAGTACGCTGATATTGCTAGTTACATCAGTGGACATCAGATTTTACTGTGCCTTTTATAGCTAAATAATAATAATAATAAATTAAGCTCAGACAGAATAAGAAGCTCTTTTAAGGGATTCTTAATATTAAACTTGTATATTGTGATGTTAAAGACAATGATCTTAAAGTGATTTACAATATACAAAAAAAACAATACAGAAAATTAAGACTCACAAAAAGTGCTATTTATTTTGGTATGATATTCCACAGCTTTACGATAGAGTAGACTGTCACCCATCTATCCAGACAGTCAGTGGGAACATAGTCATCCAGAATCACATGAGAAGATGGGAATAAAATGGTCTATGTACAATAAAAACGAGCCATATGAGAGTCTTAAACGTAAGCGAAAGGATTTTAAAATCAGCCAGTTTATTACGCACCTCTGCATCACATTTCTTGCAAACTTTAAACGTCCTGGGGCCTGCGAGGTAAAGAAAACGAACGCTTCTCATACCGACGTCCCACTGCGGTAAGCACAGAGACTGAGCCTGCGACGCCATGTGTACGGTCCCAATTTGCACAGGAATGACGTTCGCTTCCACTTCACGTTAATATTTCTCATCTGAACCTCAGATTCCCACTGATATCATCGCCCGGCACGTAAGACACCCAGACGATTTTCAATTAAGGGTTACCCCCAGTGCAGACGAAAAGTTTTTTTGTGCTCCCTTTTGTTCACTTCGAACATACAGTATCTTCCCTCTCAGTATACAAATAAATATTATCCACTATCTGCTACCAAAGTAAAGCTGTTTATTAACACGATCTATACACTACACACGACTGAACACTCTAATGGAGTGTTTTGGTACTGAATACCAGCACTTATATTAAGGCGTACACACATTTCATCTACCACTTCCTCGGCTCAGCCCCGTTTGCCTATAAAATCAAAAGCACATGTCGCTTTGCCTCCAATCCGGGACCTCGTTCTGTTACCTCTGACCCCGTGACCCCTGACCCGCGGAGGGACGAAGATGTCGGAGGTGGATTTTGGAGACACGGAACTGTTCCAGCAGTTGGGAGAAAACAAACCCGTAGCGATGCATATTCGTTTCAAGGATGACGAAGAAAGTCCCGACGAGCTCCAGGAGCTCCGGGAGAGGTTGGAAGAGTGCGAACAGACGATCACCCGCTTAAAAGCTGAGAATATCCTTCCGTAACGAGTGGCAGGCAGACGGTGCTGGGCGCTTGTTCTGTGGCCTGTAAGCAGGGATGAGAAATCAAATCTCGCTGCCCGCAAAGCCATTGGTTAAGAGTGCGGGGTTTCTCTCTCGCAGGGTTTTGCACTGCAATAAAAAAACTCGTGAAAACCGTTTTCTTTCTTCTCTAACTGGATTGTAGGTTTTAGTTCTTCGCTTTTCGCACGCTGCCTAGCGTGTCACTTGGTAAATTGTACTTCAAATTTGCGTGGTGTTCGATAGATTTTAGGATGTCGATCGCAAAAAAAACGGCAATAGATCGATGATCTTTCAAGTGTTCTTTTTCCCCGAATCCGAGATCATTATCTTCACTTTTTGTTCGTTGTCTTTTAGTTGAGCCGTAGTTCTGGACTCGTTTTCGTGTGTATGTTTTAGACGTAGTGAGGATCGTTACTGCGTGATTCAGTTTCGTTGCTTCGATAAATCGGGAATTTCGTAGTGGTATGTTGCCTTATGACATCCACGCACGGAACGATTAAAATGGTAGAGAGGTTTGAAAATCACATTTATTTTAATAAGCATTTTCATTCGTATGATATGTCGGTCTTCGCAAAAACGTGGGACTTATTCCGAATTCGTTCTCGTTGTTATTCTGGTCATGGTCCGCCGCACGCGTGGGTACTGTAGCCCGTGTTTATTAACTTGCTGCGTGTCGTTCCACTGTCATTAAGCGCCGCATAAATGTTTGATCCCCTAAAGGTAACAATCCTTGCAATGTAGTACACGGATATTATTAATATCTTCCTCTATATTCTGGCCATCACTGGGAAGGAGGAGATTAATGGAATGTGAAAGTATTTATTTTTTTCGGAAGTGGCACTATGGAAAAGCAGTTCTAAGGCGGCAGTTTTGCAAGCTAGCAGCCTGATAATGTGAACGAGGCTTTGTGAAGCTGGCTGCCGAATTCTCTCAGTTAACCTTGCTCCTGTTGTCTGGTGAGCTAGGCATTGTGTGTTCGTTATGAGCTGATCTTGAGTCTTAAGTTTTTACACGTTTGCATGTTAGGAATGACTCGTGCTCATTGGGAGTCCGACAGTCAGTATTCTGAAAGAGATGGAACTTTTATTTAAAAAAAATCCACACTCAACCCCAGAGGCTCATTAGAGCTTACACAGTGGCAGTGTGTGACTTATTCCCATGACTGCTAGTCCTTCACAAGGTTACCCCCAGCAATGCTGTTCCCCTTGTGGAAAGCTGGGTGCACTCGAGCTATTGATGTGAAATTGTTGCTCGGGTGTACAACAGCGGTGTCTGCAGTTTGAACATAACCCCACAGCCTTCTGATTGAGTCAAGCTGTAAATACTGCACTGCTACCTCTCATCCGCTACATGGGACTGTTATTGGGCAGCGGAGCACTTTTATAAACAGACTGCTCCAGCTATGGTGTTCAGGGGGACGTTTCCGCAGGTCCTTCCTCCCGGCGGCTGTCACTGCCCGAGGCTAGGACTATTAGCCCTTCATCCCTATGGATAGCATGTTGCACTATTGTACTTTTTGGACACTCAATCTGTACATACAGTGACATATTTTACAGTGACTATGAGTGTATTTTGCACACGGCTAATATATTTTGTATTGCTGTTCTTCATTTTTTGTCTATTCTAATGTCTGTTTTTGCTTGTCTTGGGCTGGGCTGCTGTAACACCTCAGTTTCCCTTCGGGATCAATAAACTCTTATCCATCTGATCTATGTATCTACACTGCCACCAGCGTTATTTGCAGAGCAGTCTGGGAAAGAGTCACAAAGGTAGCCTCTCGCGCCTTGTGATGGTAGATGTGTATACCCACTGACTACACGCAGAGAGCTGTTTGTTTTTAATATACTTGATACAACGCAGTGAGACTTTTTTTTTTTAAAACAACAATTTTTAGATGTTTTTAGATCTCGGAAGCACTAGGACAGGCATGCTGTCAGCATTTCCTTAACATCCAGCTCACATCAGGAATTGAAGAGAAAGTTAAAAATTTTGACACAGCCAAGGTGAGCATGCCATTTCGTTACCTTTGAGAATAAACTGAGAACAGTGTTTGGTGTGCGGGTGGCCTCAGTTATGTCTTGAGCTGTGTGTGTCTTTGTACATTGACTGGGATTGATCGCTGTGTTAAATGCTTCTCTTTCAGTGGGATAACGGTAGACGACTCCAAGGTAGACGGCCCACTGCTGCAGATTCTGTTTACAAACAACGTCATCTCAAAGTAAGGGTTTCAATTCTCCACCTAGAAAAAAATAGGTTTTCCCTCTGTGGCTCCACTGCAAAATGTTATTCTGCCTGGCAGCCCCTTTTAAAACTTCAAGAGCTTGTAGCTCGACCCAGACATGCAGGCTGAAAGACCTTGAAGACTGGCTTAACTCTTCTGGCCTTTTGCTGCCTTTTTTCTTTTTCTCTTTTTCCTTCGCGTATCTCTTCCAAATCTCTGGTGTCCCTTCTTCTACTCCTTTATTCTTGTTTTTTATTTTATGGTTGGATATACACAGTTTGTTCAGGTGCCAAGTCTTTCATGCCATGATGATTCTTCACACTTGTTCATTATTGTATATAGTACTATGTAATCTTCTTTTTCCTGAAAAAACAATTTGAACAAATTGAACGTAAATTAGTTGCACTTCCAGTTCATGTTCTCTGTGGTGAATGGTACGCTTTCTTGACATCTAAGTAAGATATATTAAAAATGACATAAGCTGAGCAACTGTCTTTGCTTTGTCTTTCTTTCAGGCAGTTCCACCAAGACATTGAAGACTGTATTTTCAGTCTAATCCAGAAACACGAAGAGCAATTGACAAGTGATAAAGAGAGTCCCTCTTTTAATGTTAGGCCTCAGGTACTTCCCGTTCCTTTCACTGTGATTTTCGTTAGACCATTACGTCTTTGTATGTTGAGCTAGTTTATGTGTGACGACATTGAGGTTACTTCTCAGGCTGTTTGTCATGTGATAAATGCTAAACTGTTTTTCCAAACTCAAAACTGGTCTAAATCCCCAGTCCAAAGAGACATCAGTCCAGACATTCATTTGAACCTGGGCTGTGACATTAGCTGGCTATGTCCAGAATTTCTGGGCTGTTTCAAAACTGATTTAGAAGTGCATTCCGTTGCATAAAACATCCCATCAGTTTCCTTTTGTTTCTTTATTTAGCAACATTTTAAAAATTGCTGGTGATTTTATTTTTCTTCCCCATGCTGTTTCTCTAGCCATCAAGTTTTGTTCTGGAAGAGCACCATAAAGTGAATACATCCAGTACGATAAAAAAAATCAAGGATGCATTTAGCGTAAGTTGATATTTTTTCCATAATGATTGTTTTCTGACTTTGTTTGTGTGATTTTAAAGGTATGAAGGGTGACCCTTGTGAGTCTTCATCGCGGAAGTATAATAATCCTTTTGGTTTCTGTTCCGTTTTAGTTTGTAGATCTATGCGTGATCCTGTTTGTGTTTGTTTTTTCAGGTTGTCGGGAATGTTCTCTATTTCACCAGCTTCTGTCTTGACAAGCTTGGGCAGCCTCTGTTAAACGAGAATCCCCAGCTGACAGATGGATGGGAGATTCCCAAGTATCCTCTGGAATCGCTGCTCACTGGGAGTGTCGGCTACACCTGAGTGTTTTTAGAAGTCTAATAATCTGATGCAGAGCAAGCAGTTTCTGCACTTGCTGGGCATAAGACAACTTGACTCTTCAGTGAAAACCACAGTTCTTGTTGCAGAAGATTTTTGATAACTTTCAAACTTGAATTTTGTGACGTGTGTGTAGTTTCTGATGCAGATCAATGCATAATTTTTATGTTTTTTTTCTCCAATTTTAACAGTTGCAATGCCTATAATACTGAATAAAATCTATTAAATGTAACATTTTTGCAGTTGGTACAACAGGTATTATTCAGACATTTAAAAACAATGTTTTGGATTTTGGGTCTTGCCATGTAACCCCTCAGCATTCATAAAATGAGCCTTTTTGTGTAATGCAGCTCTCTAAAATTAAAATTCCTGAATATGTGTCCCAAAGATATCAGCAGGTATTTGGCACAGTTATCTCTCTGGATGGGCAGGAGGTGCAAATAAAGGAAAAAAGGTCCAGTAGTTTTTGTACATTCAAACATTATTGTCATTTCCATCAGCTGTGCTGTTAAGTCAGATTTTTTTCTTTGCAGACCCAAACCTTGCTGCTTCAATTGTGGTTCAGATGCTCATCAGCTAAAGGACTGTCCAAAGGTATAACAAATTTAATCAAATCAGTGGTTTAAAAAAATGTTTGCAATGGTGTATTTGGGTGCTAATTTCCTATGTTTACTGATTTATGCAACTGAGTTTGAGTCACTGATTTATCGCAGAGAGGAATGTTTGCTTTTCAAATGTGCGCCTATAGCGTATTTTCACTTTTTAAGCCACGGGACGTGGCCCGGATCAGTGAGAAAAGAAAGGAGTTTTCCCAGAGCAGCAGTCAAAGTAACCAGCGCTATCATGTCGAAGAAGTGGAAGAAAGGTTTGGAAAATACAAACCTGGGCGAGTGAGGTAAATACGTTTACCATGCATGTATTGAAAACCTTCTAATGGGTATAGCGAACGAACGCATCAGTGGTACAGGACCATGTTGATGCTACAAGCGTATCTAAGCACATATGTAGTTGCCTGAGGCACAAGTGGGTAATTGCATGTTCTAGAGTTATGAACTGTTATATTGAAGGATAGAATTATTTGGCCTGTTACTGTTCGTATTATGAATGGTTTTGTGAAAATGGCAAGGTGCAGTAAGCCTCATTACTCCTGGGAGTTTGCTGTTGTTTTTAAGTCAGTATGCATTTCTTGATGGCTGCAGTTCGAAGGTTGTTCTGAGAGGAGTTTGCTTTGTTAATGCCCGGTGATGTCGCTGTTCGCAGCGAGGAGCTGCAGGATGCCCTTGGCATTGAAGAGAACACCTTGCCGCCTTTCGTTTACCGCATGCGACAGCTGGGCTACCCTCCGGGCTGGCTGAAAGAAGCGGAGATGGAGAACTCCGGGCTGACTCTCTATGATGGAAAGGGTATGTTGACTTTAATAAATGAATTCCTTTTCCTTTCCAATGGCTAACAAATTGCTTGCTCACCCACAATGCATATCGGTTTTCCAGTTTGGCCAATATTCGTTTTCAAAATGTGCTCATTTCCTTTTTCATAGCGGGAAGCGATGGAGAAATTGAAGAAGATGAGAACAGCCGGAACCAGCAGATCTCCTACGATGTGTCTAAGCTCATAGATTTCCCTGGGTTCAATGTTTCTGCACCAAAACACATTATGGATGTTAGTAACTACTTACCTTTTTGTTCAGTGGCTGAAATGTACATAAACATTGAGAACTTTTGTATGTTCATGGAAATGTGATTGTCTGTTGATTCTTCAGCAAGTCTGTTTTTTTTTAACGAACGTATTTATTTTTTTAGGAGTGGCGACAGTATGGTTCCATCCCAATGCAGTCAAATCATTTGAAAGAGAATTTTGCTGCTTATCTCTCGAGTAATTTTCCAATGGTAATCTCATTTCTGTCTCCTTTGTTTTTTTATTTCCATTATGTAAAACACAGTCCCGAGAATTTGGTACAAACAGCTGTCAGAAAAATGGTGGTATGGCCGAATACTCAAATTCCAATACCACTCTAAACCCTTTTGATCAGATCGCACTGGGAATGGATTTCGGCTGCTCCATCAGTTTTTCACACCTGGTTTGTACCACATTTACAGGCACATAACATAAGCTAAAATATTTCTCTGTCTGCTTGTTTACAGCCAACCTCAGACTCAAAGAAAAGAGTTCATGACTGGGATTCATCTCCTCGGAATCCAAAAAAGAGGAAATCGGACATTTCTGACAGTGTTAGGAGCTTGGATATGGAGGTTGATTCAGGTACTTTCTGTGTACAGGTGCATCAGGCTTGTAGACAACATTCAGGAGAGGTAAAATGCAATAAACGTGTTCAAGTAAAGAATTTTTAGTCTTATTCTTTAGTTGAAACATAAATGTTTTCTGCTAAGAAACGTGCATCGAAAACTCAATCAAATGGTTTGACTTCAGGTTGGGATTTTGTATTTTTTTTTCTGCAGATGTTGGCATGCAGATGTTCCTGATTAACAGTCGTGTGCATCTGTCTCTAGGTTCCGAAACTCCGCGAAGCTCCAGGAGTTACAATGACTTCCCCTTCCAGCCTCCTCTCCCACCTGGTTCCCCCGCCTTGGGTACGCCACCACCTCAGCCCTGGGGCAGCCCACCAGGCACCCCCCCGAACTTTATCCCACCGCCGCCACCAACTCCCACTCCTCCCCCTTTGCCCAAGGGAACTCCGCCCCTGACTCCCTCCAACGGCTCCCCGGCCGTGCGCGTGCGCGGGGGCGAGGACTCCACCGACGAGGACGGCCTGACCCTGGAGGAGCTGGAGGAGCAGCAGAGGCTGATCTGGGCGGCGCTGGAGAACACCGAGGCCAACACGAACAGCGACTCGGAGATCTCCGCGGGCACCCCAATCGCCACCACCTCCGCGGCCTCTTCGCCGTGCCTGACGGACGCTGAAGCGGTCGCCCAGGAGGGGGTGGAGAGGCTGGAAAGTTCGGACGCCTCCCCCGGGAACGCCGACTGCGCAAACAAGGCGGCGCCGGCTGCCGTGAGTTCAGACGTTGGCGGTGATGATGATGATGATGACGACGCTGATGTGATTGAAGTCGAGAAGGAGGCACTGTGTGAGGTTGGACCTGGAGGCCCAGGCCTGGCTGCAAGTTCAGCTGTTGTGAAGCAGGAAACTAATGTCCCAGAACACCCTGGCAGAGAGACTGAGGAGAGTGGTGATGCCAGTGAGAAAGTGGAATCTGTCCCCCACAGGAGTAAGTTTGCAGAAGGAATAATCCCCTTCGAAGACACCGCTGAATACACTAATGTTGCTGAAGCCACTGGCGTCTACCTCAGGATAAGAGACTTGTTGAAAGGTTCCCCTCGAAACCAAAGCAGAAATAAAAAGTGATATCATCTGGAGCAGACAGGCCAACAGAAGTGGTATAAACCTAGGAATTTGTTAAAGGTTTTTTTTTTTTACAGTTTTTAAGTCTGCGTTGTCCCAGCTGCATTAAGGTTGCAGTTTTAATGAATGTGAGGAAAGAAAAGTCTTTTTTTTTTGCGTAGTTCATTTTAATTTTTTGTTTTTTTGTAAAAAAAAATAACCCCCTGTAAGTGTAAATGGGTGGATCAAGGCATGTACAAAAAAAATGTAAATGATGATGTTAGAAACAGATTGATAATGGACTGATGGTGCTTGTTTTATCATGGGAGTCATGTGACATTCTTTGAGTCTGGTAATGTTCTGTTTTAAACTAATTTTTTAAAAGAGGTTTCCAGTCCTACTTTCCAGTAAAATTCAGTCTTTCAGGGATTTTGAGGATACAGAATATTTCAGGTATTTTTTAAAAATGGTCAGTTTTTAATGACCTTTGTGACTTTTGTAATCCATATTTAAAATGAAAAAAACAACAACCAGTCTACAGTGTTTAGTAAACTTTTTATTAAATTACTCAAAACATGTTCAAGTAAAATTCAAATTTTAACGTGATTGGATTGCTGCTGTTTCCTTCTTTGTACCAAGTAATGATAAAATGGATACAATATGCAATTAAGTGCTGAGAACGTTGTCACACAAAAAAAAACACTAGACTTTCTTAAAATATAATTTGTAAATTTTAGCTCAGCGAGTCTCTAAGCAATATATCATTAGTTTTCAGTTTACAGTACTGTAGAGGGCGGTATTTACTAATCCAGAACAACACAATAAAGAAGTGGCATTTAGGGGCAGGCGGAGGAATGCTTTCAATATAGGATTCCAGATTCTTACCGATGAGAGAAGTCTTTAAACACAATACAGAGGTTTTCACTGTTAAAATTATTGTATGTGACTTGACTAAGCATTTTGGTGTTAATTCAGTTTATCAACATGCTGTAAAAGAAACGTAGGCAGTAAAAGAAACTGTTACGTCTTGGTAGAACTAATGATCTCAAAACGTAGAGAAATGTTATCCTTTAAAAAAGGTTAGTATTAAAGCAACACGTGGCATTACGTTATTTTTGCTGTCTAATGCAATCTTGGAAATATAAAAAAACACTGTAATATTCTGTAAGAATAGTTTATACTGCATGCATAATTAAACAGTTTTTAATTTGTCCTGCAGTCCTCCTGCACGTTATTTCCTCTTGTTCTGTGCTATGGATGTACACACATGATAAACGTTATGGTGTGACATTACTCTTAAATATATAAGCGAGAATATAGCAGGGAATGCTTTCTCGTTAGTTCAAGCCATTACCTTGTTCTAGGTTTACTTGAATTAAGCGTACTGTACGTTTTTGTTACTGATTTACTGATTAGTTACGATGAGGAATTGAGACTGTACTGACAGCAAGTTCTTCCGGTGGAAGCAGACAAATGACCTGCCAGGTGGTCTCCATGGAGACGGCGGGGAGAAAAAGACATGGCCGCCTGTCCTCACCGCCGTGTCAGAGCGGGGGTTTAGGCAATCTGGAGTAGGTTGCGTTATGCTTTGCCTGTCTTTTCCTCGGCTTTTGACATTTCTCTTGCTTACGTAAGTGGACACTTGCACATTTTTTTAAAGTTCGCCTTTAGTTTCATTCGGATGTGGTCCATAGTTTGAGTCAGGATTAGAGTCATACTGACATCCACTTCAAGTTGTATTTTATTATGTGAGAGACATGTAGACAGACTTTTGAAATAAGATGATGCGTATCCTCCCCGTATTATTTTTTTTCCTATCGTTTGTTTTAAACAACACCTAGCCTGTGTGTAATAGTGGTATAAATATACCAAACTCGGCAAAATCGTTTGTTCTTCATAGTTTATCAAATTACGTACCCCAGATCTCCAGTGCATCAATATCTACACTGTCTGTAGCAGCTGGCAGGAGGAATTAAATGAGAAATTCATGAACATCTGCCCTATAGTCACACTTTTATGGCTGAGTAATGCCTCAGTTATTATTGATGCGGTTTATCGGATGCCCGACTCCAGATAGGCAATCTCCATCGTGGTGAACATATTTAAATTGTGAAATATTGTAATAATAACGCTGACGAGCCCTACTTTTAAGTCTCTTTGTGTCTCCAGGGGCTAGCAACAAAAGCAGCATTTGTTTTACGTATACGATGACTAGATAAAGACGCCAGTGTTAGCGAATCAAGCTCACCCTATATATATATGTGTGTGTACGGGCAAGTACACACACAAATATATATATCAAGACGAGAAACTTCGCCGCCGGTGTGCGTTAAAGACCGATGACGCAGGTAGCAGCTGACCGGTTAACCTTTGTCCCGAAGGAGACGATGACAGAACCGACCGACACCGAAGAAGTCAAATAATTTTTTTTAAAAAAAAAATGCCTGCCGGGTCAGAAAGGCAGAAAGGAGCAGGCGGCGGTGGGCCGCTGACGTCACTCGTCGGAGGCGCTGTGTGTTAAACCTGCAGCAGGAAGACAGACTGGGGCTGGATCGGCCCGGGAATCGGAGAGCTATTGGGGAGGTGTCTTGAGAGAGAGAAAAAAACATTGTGATTACGGGACCTCAAAGCAGGTAAGCGAATCCACCCGCCTTGGCATACGTTGTGACAGCGTGTCTTGGATGCCCCGGCTCCGTGTTGCTCTCTTCTCCTGCTTCGGAGAAGCGGATAAAAAAGGCGCCGGATCCCGTCAAGGGAACAGGGAGTCGCTGGTCGTGTTGTTGCCTAACCCGACCGATTCCCCGGGCCTTAGCTCGGCTCCCTCGCTCGCAGACAGGGCGGGGGTGGCGTGCGGGGAGAGGGCCCCGTCTACCAGACTGAAGGGAGGGAGGAAAGGGAGAACGACCCCGGTTTCATAAGCGAGGAAAGATCAACAGTGTTTATCCCCTCCCCCGGATCGGTCCCCGGGGGTGCCTTAGCTGCGCTCCGGGCCGGTCGTGACATTGGCGCTAGCAAGAAGGTATGTCACTCCCGGGCAGCAGACCTGTGGAGTTTCGCTGCCCTTTTTAATAAAAAACACGAGTCCCGTGTTCATCGTGTGGGGGGTCGGCGTTGATGGTGCACCTTCTGGTAAAACGTTAAGGAAGGGCGAGAGGAAGACAGCTCTTGGAGCTGAGTTGCCATTACAGTCCAGCCCCTTGCCAAGTTCTTCTTCTGCAATTGTTATTCCTCATTCTGATTCGGTTTTATTTTCCTCTCCTGAAGATCCGCGTCGACCTCATCTCCTGCCTGCCTCCTTTTCTCGTCACCCCTATCGCCACCCGGTCGTCACTGAAAGGGAGAGAGCTTGTAGCCACCGAGTTTGTGGTAGCAGATGAGGTCCAGATGTGCCACCTCAACGCTCGCCGGCTTTGATATTACACCCAAAAAAATCGACGTGTCAAGTGTCTTCTGACACGTGGTGGGCTCACGCTGAACGCTGCCTATCGATCGGTCTTGGATCGTTTTGGTTTCGTGTGTGTGTGCTTTCGTTTCGAAAACAGTGCGATCTTTATTCGGGGGGGATCCCAAAGCTGTCGACATTTTAAAAAAAGGACTAGTATTTAGAAATGCGGAATCATTAAAAAGCTTTAACTCAGGTAAGGTGTGAGGCAGGAATCCTCCTCTTCCGCGCCTGGCGTTTTTTTTTTTTTAAATCGGGGATCGGGGTAAGCATTTGATTGTGTTGTAACTTCAAAATGCTGCATCGTTTTGGGATTATTTCCTTTAAGAATGTGGGCGGCGTAAACCCGCATGAGGGGGAAATTGAGAATTTGTCTGAGTGCATTCACATTCTCTTTCGCGTTATTTGGAAATATTGTTTTATGACACGATTCAGTACTGTGTGATCCCTTGCTTTAGGGTTGAAACGGTGAAGCAGCGAGATAGGACGCATATATAGGGTACTAGGTCGAGTGTTTAACGACGTTTTGAGAAGCGCAAGTATGAACCCGCCAACCACGAAAGCGAAGATCAGATCTAACACTTGTTATTTTCACTTACGCAGGAAAGCTAACAATGTGTGATCTTGCAAATTCATTCTGGGGGGTTTATTTTTCAATGCGTAGATTTTGGAAGAGAATATTGTAGTACAGAATAGTCGTGTCTCTGTGAGGTTGATATGAATGACTACAATTGAGAACCGCCGAGTCACGGTTAATTGTGCTCTTTAACTGGTGTCCTACTTTTGAAGCACTGCTGACGGAATGAAAATAAGCAGTCAGGATGTCTTTAACTGAGTTGGAGCAGATAATAATGTGCTTGATGTCGGTGTATTTCCCGAATTCCTCTGCTCGAGGCTCAGAACTGACATTATAAAAGCGCAGGACCTTGAACAGTGATTTACTACACAGCGTTTGACTTATCACATCCGGACAAAACAAAACACTAACATGTTTCTAGTTTTTTTTTAAACAAAATCTTTCCAGTAATTTGCGTGGGAGCGAGCCTGCTCTGCTGCCCTGATATTTATACTTTGTCCCCAGCTCTGTTTTGAGTTAACTGTCCAGTCACAACATTTAACAATAAAAAAGTGTTTGCTTTTTGTTAAAGGAGACAGTATTGTGTACTTCATTACTTTACCTTTTCAAATGATTATTATTGATCTACATGCCCTGTGGGTTAAAGAACAAGATCCCTAGTGCAGGGGCAGACGCTAAATGCATTTAAGACCTGTTAATAGTGTATAAAGATGAATGATGAGCTATATAAATAGCGTATGATGGGTTCACAGTACGGCCACATCTCACTGGTGCTCCAGTCTCTCCGTCTCAAAGTTTGACCGACTCTGTGGATACATTGGGCTCCATGGCAAAACCAATGCGTCTGTGGCTTTGAAAAGTGTTCAGGTGCACAGTATTAGCAAATCGAGTGGATACCACTCAGCTGCGGTTTGGAGTCTTGTCCCCCGATGCTCACATGTTTTGTGTGTACTGCTGTGGGTAGATGTTGGAGTCTCGGCTGGCCCGATGCAGAATGTCCAGACAGTGGCCCAATGCTTTTTGAGTTCCCTTCAGTGTGTGTAGATGGATTGTAGAGCGCTGGAGTTCGGTTTTGGAAGTGCACTTAAAACCTCAGACAGATGATTCCCCACCAGCGGACCGTGGTGGGGCCATGGAACACGATACCCAGATGGGTGAAGCCGATACCCTGGATTCTTTCTAGAAACGGCGTTCCGGGAGCCGCAGACCAATAAGCATCTAACTAGCAAACAGGCTGGACGGGTCGAAGGGCGTCCTCTCGTTTGTGAGCGTACTTCGGCTTGTATTGAATCTCGCTTTTCCGGCCCCGGTTTTCCACTGGCGCTGGAGGCTGATGCCTCCGTCCGCTCGTTAGGAGAAACCCAATACGGGGGCTCAAGGACGGCACGTCCTTCCCACCTCGCGCAGGCACGTGCTCACCTGGCCCGGCGACAAGCCCGCCGAGCTGCGCGGCCCGTCCAGTCGCCAGCGTTGCACTGAGAGCCTCCCTGAGGGCCGGGGGGCTGGGCAGGAAGACTGGCGTCCGGGCCTGGCCAAGAGCAGAAGTGATGCACTCTCTCCCTGGCCCTGTTCGTTATAAACCTGTCAGGCTGTGCAGTTTGAGACTCGCCGCTGACGTGTTGATGTGTTGGGCTACCCCTCCCTGTCGAACAGACCTGTCAGTTCAATTCAGACTACTTTATTCATCCCCAACGGGGGCAACCTAACTTGTTTTTTTCTGTCTGGTAACCTCTTCTGCAAGGAGCATTGATGCAGCAGGTCTTACAGATCGCATTCAAGTCCTCAGCTTGTAAAGGCTTGGAGCAGGTGATCCAGGTAGTAGGCTGATTTGTTAAGTCACTTCCGAAGTGGTTATCTGTGGCTGCCACATGTTGTTGGCATTTTCATTCTGAATGAATTTAAAGCTCCATAATTAAAAATGCCTGCTCTAGTGGTCAGCACAAAATTGTTCCGAGTGTTTAGAGATTGGTGATAAAACTCTGGAATTGTCTGGATGGCAGTTGTGGGAGGCGAGTTGCTAATCCCAGCTCTTCTCTGTTTTTGTTTTATTGCTCTCTGGTTGGCATCCCAGCTCGGCACATTAGCTCATTTGATCAGTACTCTCTTTATGAAAAATGTAGTCACTCTCGTCTTGCTCACTGGCCTGAAAACTGGGGCAGCTGTTCAAGCATGTTCTCCTCTGACAGACCCTGAACTCTGGACCCATGTCCGGATTCGTGGGTTTGGTCCAGGGATCGTGGGAGTCTGAAACAAACCGCCCAGCCGTGTTGTAGAAACTGATACTCTGGTTTCTTTTAAGAAACATATGATCGTTGGATCAAGAACTGCTAACTACCAAACTGACTAGGTGAGCCAGATGGCTTGGTGTGATTCGTACCCGTTCTTATGATCATCTTTTAACCGGTCAAGCAGTTCCACACCTTGACATTCCCTGTGCTAGGTGTACAGCTGTTTGTAATGTAAGTACCGCTGGTGGAGTGCACACTGTCACGACAGAAGACGTCTTTTTGTGTGCTGTAAATCTGACATGCTTACCCCATCTATGGCAGATATTTTAAGACCGGTCTTAGGGTACGTGAACCTCCAGTCAACAAAGCAGTCAGACCAGTTTAGATCATGACTATTTGAGCCCATATATGTATTTATCTTTATGAACCCAACACTTCACTGGATGCAGTGTTTAGTTTTATAGAAGGGGTTTGTGCCACAGTCAGAGATGGTACTGTACGTGTTTTGTACATCCAGGTCATATTAATGTCTTCTGTTGAGCCATGAAGGAACTTCTTTGTCATATGTTGAACCATTGCTGTCCGGCTGTGAAATACTGCTGTACGGAGACTGAGGACCTGCCGACGTGCTCCTCTGCCAGATACGCCCCTTTGTTAGGGCCATTCGTTTTTTAAAAATGCTGCAGTCTTCGCAGGGCCTGTCAGGAGAGTTTAGTGCCACAGGTTTGGCTATTTGAAAGTCCTAAAGAGGCATGTGGAGTAACGTCCTCCCTACCCTGGCATTACTCTGTCAAATGGGCACCAGCAGTGGGGGAGTCCCTATGACTTGGCACAGAGTCAAGTCAGCATTTCTTTAGTGGGGTAGTAATGAATGTGTTTTCAGTGCAGTCTACAGAGTTGCTACAAGCCCAATGGAAATATGCATTGGAGCTGTATTAAAAATCAGTGAAGAGCATTTTTTGGGGGGTTTCTAGTAACAGAACATGTAGAATCTTGCTCTCCTGGTGTAGGAAGATAACTAGGGTTTAGTCAAAAAACTGTTAAAACAGACAGTGCAGCTCACCTTTTATTTAGCTATTGATAGATTAAATCTTGAAAGTTCCTGTGTTCTGAAAAAGCATTGACTTGTAGCCTTCAATTATTCAGAATACTTTGTTTTCCCATGTTCATGCCTGAACCCTGTGTGAAATAAGATTTCATGTGTACTGGAGCGTTCCTGTGTTTAGAGATGCTCTTTACCTGAGAGGTCATCAAGGGGCTGTTGGGCCAGTTTTGAATGTTCCATTGACAGTACAGATGAAGTCAAGGGCATTACTTTGCAGTTTCGTAAGACCATGCGCGTCATTTCTATATATACAACATTGTGAATGTTTATTAACATGTACT